TGGTTCCTCAGAGCATCATCTTCAACAGTTTTGATCTCTGATGTATCTGCTGGCAAACTTGCCGGTCCTGCGTCTTCTTTCTGAGAGGATGTAAGGGTGCTCGGATCTTCCCAAGGTCGTGGTGCTCTGTACAGAGTTGCAGATCGAAATGTGAGAAGAAGTACGAAGGTAAACTATCAATAAAACATAAAGCCACCAAAAACATTAAGTAGATAGAGATAGTCGAGCAGAAAAAAAAGGACTTACTTTGAATAGCCAAGGCCGTGAACCCACACTGCATCAGCATTCCCTGCACCCAAGTCCTCTGCTGTCGAACCCCTCTTCACAAGTTCAGTAAACTCTTGCTTGTCAAGGCGATTGCCTTGTGGTCTTGTAGAGGACTTTGGTGCCAAGCCCAGAGCCTCCCTCATGGCTTGTTCCTCCTGTTCCTTAACTCTTTGAATCTCTTCTTTCATAGCATCCGTGTTGGAACCCTTGTTTTTTTTATCTCTAGCATACCAGTGAAGATCTTTACCTATTGAGTTTTTATCCGCAGAGAAATAGAATGTCAGTCCAAAGTTCTCTACACTGAAGATTAATCTACAAAAAAACTAATAGCTAGAAAGGAAAAGAAAACCACAAAGAAATATGTGCAAATTCCTCTCGGAGAGAGATAGAAGGCAGTGGATTTATCAAAAGAGGACTTTAAAGTAACATTGACTGCCCAAACCACAATGAGACCAATGATATTATTCATAATATATACATCATAGGACTTGATGAAGTTGAGATGCCTTACATTCAACCTATCATACACTGCAGCAATTTTGCATAACTAACAAAGGCATAGAAAGAGCTCAGCTAATTCGATGATAACAAATCAAGGACTTTAATTACGACTTAGAGCTAAGTGAATTTCTTTGTTGCATTAATATGAAATCATGGAGCTAATACTAGAAACAATCAAACAAGTTATCCAATAAGATTTCAGTCCACAAGACTAGTATTCAGTAAATGCCATAGGAGAAGCATAGCACCGATTAAGGAGCAAATTCATAGAATTCAAGACACAGGAAAAGAGGAATAAGAAAAAGAACCTTTTTGCCATCTTCCAACAGGGGCCTTGATACTGTGACCCAAATAGTTCTCCCTATGTTTATCAGCTTTCACTTCATCCCAACTGAATTCTGCACATTTGTAAACAAAGTTCATCAGTAATAGAATCTTCATCATGCATAAAAATCGTTATAAGCAGCAAATGTTCTACATCTTGATCTATAAACAAATTGCCAGAACGGAGGCAATCAGAATTCCAGAGTGCAAAGAGGCCTCTAATAAGGGAAATTAACCAATTCACTAGAACTATGGCAATAATGCTTCTTATCAAATTCAGCTTCTTTCACAAATGCTTATGCCCAATCCACATCTTCAAACCCTAGATTCTCACCCTCAATACCAAATTTATAAGAAAAAAGTAGCAGATAAGAAGGACGAAATTGAGTTGGAGGATACATGGAAACCCTAAAAGTTGAGAAATTTATGTAGGATCTTGCAATAATGAAAAGCAAAATCCGAAAACAAATATAATGAAAAACTTACGATCTCGACCACCGCGAACACCGCCTCTCGTCGGATGATACATCTAAAACCCTAAAAGTTGCAAACTTTTCGATCTCTCTGGAGGATAATAAGAATGAGTTTGATGGTTACGAATTTCTCAGATTCTCTGGTTCGGATTGAGGAGCAGCAAGAAACTGG